TAACTTATTAATAAGATGTTTAGAGTGTTAGAGAGAGGTTATGTTCGAACCTCTTACTCTCTAACACTCATTGCCGCCAGCTCTTTCTTCTCTACTTCTCTTGTTWGTTCTCTTTTCTGGTTTGCATCTAATCTCAAACAGTTCCACACATCAAGTGGGCTGTTTTTCAACTGACACTTTCTTCTATAAGGGTCGTTTGGTAATACCTAAAACATCACGGTATCTCCAGGAGTTACTGCAACTCTTTCATGACTCACCATGGGGGGGGAGGCGGGGGGCTCACTCAGGGTCCCTATGCACCTATAAAAGATTGGCAACCCATTACTATTAGACGGGCATGAAACAAATGGTACAGGAATATGTAGCCAAGTGTGCAACTTGTCAACAACAGAAATACAGCACCCAGACCCCTGCCAGCCTATTATAACCCCTACCCATACCCAGCCATGTCTGGGAAGAAATCACCATGGATTTGACAACCAGATTACCCAAATCTAATGGGAAATCGGTGATTTTTAGTGGTGGTGGACCGGTTGAGTAAATATGCCCACTTCATTGCCCTCCCTCACCCATATACAGCATCCACAGTTGCCTGAGCTTTTATACAGGAGGTGGTCAAGCTTCATGGCACCCCACAGTCCATACACACAGATCGGGGCTCACTGTTCATAAGAAAGTTTTGGGAGTCTTACTTCTCAGCCCAGGGGGTACAACTACTCCATTCCACCAGTTATCACCCTTAGACCGACGGTCAATTAGAGGTAGTAAACTTGTGCTTAGAGACCTATTTAAGGTGCTTTGTTGGGGAGAAGCCCAAACATTGGGCCCACTGGTTGCCTTGGGTTGTATATTGGTATAACATAACCTTCCAAGGAACGGCCAGAACCACTCCCTTCAAGGTGTTATACGGGCGTGATCCTCCCGTCATCCTTCCTTATGCAGTGGCAGCGGTTGAAGAACAGTTAACAGCTAGGAGCAACATATTAAAAAATCTCAAGTTTCACCTCCACCAGGCCCAACAATGTATGAAACTGGCCTATGATAAGAAGCACCGTGAGTTGGAATTTTCAAAGGGTGACTGGGTCTGTTTGAAGCTTCAGCCTTATAGGCAAACATTAGTGGCCTATCGCCCATCGCAGAAATTGGGCCCACGATACTTTGGGCCTTTTCAAGTGACAGAACGCATCGGATTGGTAGCCTACCACTTGGATCTTCCTACTGAGTCTAAATTGCATCCAATATTCCACATCAGTCTCTTGAAGCCATGCTTGGCTTCCACCGATAGGAGGAGTCCTACCCTTCCCCAGTTCACTAATGAAGGGGAATGGGAACCGAAATGACTTGCAAACTTCAGGTGGGTGAAACAGGGGAAGAAGATTAAAAGACAGGTCGGCCTTGGTGGAATGGTGCAATCTCCCTCCCGAAGATGCCACATGGGAGAATTTTGACCAACTGCAGCAACAATTTCATGACATTGACCTTGAGGACAAGGTCGTTCTTGATGGAGAGGGGAATGATAGGCTCGGAAAGGCAACCAAACCAGCCTCGAAGGCCCAGGCCCATCACCAGACCCAGAACTCCCCTCAGATATTCGCTCGACACCACCCTTGAGGTTTGTTTATGTGTGTCGTCCATGTAAAGAGAATTGAGCGAGAAACGGTTAGCCATCACTATCTATCCCCTACAAGAGGTTATAAATATCTTGTAATAATCATTGACAAGGCAAGAGAAACCCTACTTCTTCTCTTCGAACCAGCTCCCTTTTCTTAGTCCATTTCAGGAGGGTGAACTCCCTCGAATCAGCTCCTGTCACTTAAACATACGTTTGCAGAAGTAAAGGGTCTTATCAAAGACAGATGCTTTAGCCCAACCTTACAAAATAGGACTGGGCAGCCATCAAAAACTTTCAGGCAGATGTTCCACCTTAGTAGATCAACACATCCTTCCAAGGCATTAGGGCAGATTCTTGACCACAGTCCACCCAGGGGGCCATGCTAACTACAATGATAAAATCTTGAGCTGACTAGCATGATAAAATGGGTTTGAGTCTGAGAGAAGCCACTTTGTGAAAAAAAAAATGCCAAAGGTTAAGTCTGTATCCAATCCAGCCCACCCAAGACCCAGGATAGTCAGGACCAACATTGCGTAATGTCCTTTTATTTGTTGAAGGGTCCAAGTAAAAGAGTAGTGGCACAATAGTAGCAAAATATATATCACCAGGCATATGCACATTCAGATGAGCCTATAATTATACTGACTATAAGAACAAGATATTGTATCTAAATAACATATATTCAACTTACAGGAGTCTCAAAGATGCAAGCTTCCCTATCTCCCTTGGTATACTTCCTGTTATCTCATTCCACATAAAATCTCTTCCAAAAGAGAACAAGGTGATTAATATCACAGGAAGTATCAAATATAAATATTCAAAGATAATAGGCAAGGAGGATGACATCTCCAAATATGAAACATATTGATATCTTGATGATAGTTGACCAAACATTACTCACATTACTTGAATATGAGATAGTTGACCAAGTTCAGGTGCTAAATATCCAGAGAGATTCATATTCAACAGCTGCCTATAATAAAAGGCAAATGAAAGTGATGGTATGAGTGGTATTTTGTCCATAACAATAAATATTATAAAATAAGAACTATATTGTAATAGTAATACTAAAGGTAGTAACCATATACGTTGTATTAAGAATTAATTCTGTACTGCAAAACTCCATCCTTGGAAAATCTTTTAAACTTTCTTTTACACAACATAACCAAATGAGAAAAGGTGAAGCATAACATAAAAACATACAGTCCTTTTATATGCATGTAACCATCAGTCCCAACTGGATCAAAGCATAGAATTCCTGTCCAATTTGATGTGCATGGGTCACCCTGATTCCAATCATTAAGATGCTTCATGGGATCAATTAACTCGCTCTTAATAGCTCTTAATGCAGCAACTGCAAAACAACAGAAATGATAACTTGATCTCATAATTCGCCTCAATTATAAAACAGTTTAATGCTTTAATGGTTGGAGCTCATAAATATTCCCAATGTAAATCACTACAACAACCTTATCTGATTGCATGTGTACAAACCATCACATCTTACCAGCATGATTGGTGCAAGTGCATCATAAAAATCATAAGATCGAAAAGGAAGATAGCAATTAAGGCTGTAACTTTATTAACATGCATGCATGTGCATGAATATACATGCACACTCCCATACATATATGTGTATCCCTGACCAAACCTGGGGTTTCAAGCTTATCAAACTCAGGAGAATTCAGGCTTAATGAGAGGTTGGTGTATTTTTTTATAATAAAATAAAAAGAAACCTATTAAAAAAATTATATTATAAAGAAAGAGTGTCAAGAGCAATGTTTTAAAATGCGGAGGCGTGACATGAGGCGTTCCACTACCTAGAAGCGTGAGGTGTAGTTCAGAACGCAAGAGGCGTAAGCCTCCCGAACACAAGGAGGCGTAAACCTCCTTAAGAGGAGGGGGGTTAGGAGGAGGATGAAGAGGAAGGGGGGATTTCATTTTTTCCTTATTTTTAATAAAAATCTTTTATACTAAGAAGAATAAAGATGCATAACATTAGTTGAAAAGGGGGCAGGGGGGGTCTGGGGGGCGAAGCCCCCCAGCCGAAGGGGCAGAGGGCAAACCACTTTCTTTCCCCTTATCTTTTCTTCCCTTCCCTTTCCCTTCCTTTTCTTTCCTTTTCTCTTTTTTTCTTCTCTTTCTTTTTCTTTCCCTTCCCTTTCTTTTCCTTTCCTTTCCTTTCCTTTTTTTTTCTTTTTTCTTTTTTTCTGTCTTTATATATCAGATGTGCATGAGGCGCATGAGGCATACGCCTCTAGCACGCCTCATGAAAAAAGCGCAAGAGGCGTACACCTCAGAGGTGTCAGCGCCTCTGGCATACGCCTCAGGGCGTTTTGGGAGCACCTTGCCTGGAGGTGCGCCTCCAGGCGTACACCTTTTAAAACACTGGTCAAGAGAACACCCAACCAACCAACAATAAAAACCAACCTTGCAAAACAACCATGTGTACGCTAGAAAAAGTTTTCGAAGAAAACAAAAATGAAAACAGCTTTCAGAACAATCTTAGGTGATGCTTCTCATGGGAAAGAGTAGTATGGCTAAGCATCAACCCTTTACCCATACAAGTTATCTGAGGGTGCTGCCTTAATGTTAATCATACCCATATTTCAAGTAAAATGTAGTTTATACCAATACTAATACTTAAGCTTAAAGTTCGTCCTCCATACAATTAACTGGATCCAGGGGAATATAAGGGATTGTCGCTGATTCTCTTGATAAATAAAGAATTGATAAAAGTACAAGGGATTTACTCCATTAAAGGGAAAAGAGATAATGATGAAACAAGATGATTAATGGCTAAATGAACAGTCTTTGAATGCTTTCCAGTTTGATTTGATAGAGGCACTGGAAGAGTGGAAGCAGTTGTATATCATTTGACCACACAAGATGAAGCATCCACCTGGCATGAAAATAACTTACGGGGAAGCTACATGGCTGTGCGTGCTCATGCAATAAAATTGCAGAATAAGATTGTATATCTATCAAGAGTAGCATTTACACAGGTCGAGTAGGTACTAATGTCTCTGTTCTAGGGGGAGAAGAAACATTTTATTATTAAGAGTTTGTCAAACCACTAACTGAAAGTATGATCATGGAATAAGTAGGAAAGGGGAAGAAGATAGAAGAAAAGAATATCCGCTGGTAATTAGATTTATTCTATATAGATGATAGGATTTGTTCCACAGATTTCAAAAAGGAAGAAAGAGGAGCAAGAGAACGATATTAGCAAAATGTAACAGAGCAAGTGAGTAGAAAAATATAGTGAGCCAATTAAATAAAAATGCCACTACGAATGCATTCCATAGAGATGGGTAAAGACTGACATGGTCTATCTGAGTTGAATGCTTTTGTACTTGTGTTTGTCGAACACCAGTTTGCAACCGACTCGGAGAACACTAGCCAATCTAGGATAAGCAAAGAGTTGTTCGACATAAAAGTCTAGTTAACAAGCACTAGACATCGACATACTGTTTGAGTAAACCAGGAATTGAGGCAAGCATGCCATGTGTCATATGTCATATATGAACTGAACAAAAGCACGACTCTGTTCTACATTACAGCACAAGCTCCATTTCATTTATATCGTTGAAATGAATATACGAAACCTACATACACCAGGTTCGGTAAAACATCCCTCCAAACGTCTACGAATCACAGACTCTACAAACATAAGACCAACGCATAGTTCCGTGCAACTAAAGCCTTCTGAACACATTGGTATAGAACAAACTAAAATCAAACACCAGGCAATATCCCAAGAGTACGGACATCAATGTTCGAGTCGATTCACCTTCGGAAGGATCAGTTGTCTGTGCTGCGACACTGAGTGCAAAACAGCAAAACGAGACAAATAGAATAAATTCCAATAGACAAACTTTTACTCCCATCATCTTGAATTCAACCGTATTCATGAACTTCTCCAGTTCTAATTCCAAAAATCTGCAAGATTTCGGCATGTTAATCGAGATTTCAATTTCATCCGCCACTCGAAACCCTAAAAAACGAAACGTGAATGCTCAGACAAACTTCGGACAAATGGTGTAGTTGTAGAAGTACACCAATGTAAGGACGAGGGTGGACTTTTCTACGAAAAATCCATTTCAGGGGTAGCGCTGTCGACATTATTTGTTCTAGAAATGACCAAATAATCTCTTGGATCGGTCTTCCCATAAAAAAAGAGAAAAAGATAAATTTTCAGTGCAAGTGGCTGCTTCGTCTCCGTCTCCGTCTCTGGGCGTCAAATTAGGTTGTCGGCCCACCGCCTCTATGGGAGAGAAAGAGAAGTAATAATATTCATAAATTTATTAAAAACAATAACTGATATTGACAAGCAATCGCGATACGAAAATCATAAATCGTTCGAAGCCAAAACTTTATAACTTGTGGTATATAGAACTATCTTAACGGTTACAACGGCCTTACAAGAAGAGAGTGGATTATTTACCGGGAAATAAAAAAGAACGAAGTGTTTGTGACCCGGCCGGTCGGTTCGTTTAAACTGTCAACAGAGCAGAAGACGGGTTTGGACCGTTTGGTATGGTTAAAGAGACGAACCCTTCTAACCGTTCATAGATCACAATTCAAATAAAATAAATATATTACATTACAGTACATAATTATTAATTTTTAATATACATATATAATATTAAAATTATTTTAAGCAATCGAAGAATAAAAAGAGAAAACGGAGAAGTGAGAGGAGAGAGAGGAGAATTGCCATATGGATAGCATCCAAAATGAATGGAGAACTTCCAACAGCTCTAGTCACTACTAACAAAATTTTCAACAACCAAAGTCGTATGACTCTCATCCCAAGTTCCCAACTATATGGGGGTCATGAGCTACATTAATGAACCCCACCATATAGAATTTTCAGTTATGCAAGATGTTTAGATTTCATGTATTAGAAAAAATCTTATATAAGGCAACATAAGATAATCATTTGCAGAGAGATTTTCCCCACTATTTTTGGTCGATACAAATGAAACCCACTTTTAAGGGTGCTTTTTTGTTTTTGGTTTTTTTTTATTATTATAAGAGTAACATTACTCTCTCTCTCTCTATCTCCATCTCTCTATCCAAAGCTGAAAGCCCTTCTTCATTTTTTTTTTCTTTTCCATACCCTCAGGCCCGAAGTCAAGCCGCCCTGAACTGAAAGCAACCTTTGGACGTCATCTTATCTTCAAGCAAACAAGACTTGACCCTTTCTTTCACTAAATACAACTCATTCATCATAATCAAGAAAAGGAAAGGAGGTAAATGACGGATGTAAAAACACAGCATTCGTATGAATAATTTAACATGCATCCTAATTAATATGGGTAATTGGCCCCGGATGCCAAGTGGCACCTCCGCGGCCATCTTATGTCTTTGACCACATCAACACCAATGGACAAACGCAGCTAAAACGAGAAGTCCTATAATAAGGAAGACAGTTCCACCAGGGATTACGACTTATCTCAAAAATCTCGGTAGATAATCTCATCCCAATAACTCCAGAAAACTTCATCCGAATAAAACATGAATCTTTGGCTATAAATAGGTAACCCCTGCTCAAGGTAAGGAACTTTTGACTATTCAACCTCCATATTATTATTCTATTCCTGCTCAGACCGACATTACTCTCACTTACTCGGCCTGACCGCCCAACCTCTTCCATTACTTATTTGAGCGTCAGAGTACTTACCTGGGGAACAGCCCCTAGGGCCTTTGATCTCTTTCTTGGTTGCAGATCTTGATCTTGTTGTGCGGCTTTATCTTTCTACCTCAGCTTCATCAGTTGGCAAGATTATTTGACTATGATCTTGGTCCAAAACACTTCAGATTGGACAACATCGGTAATATTCAAAATTCAGTACAAATATAAATATATATACAATACAAATACATACAAAATATAAGATTTTGCACTCTACATATTACAAAACTGAGCTTAATGAGTTAAATTTGACTACCTTTTACCAATCAAAACAGGAGGAGCTCCTCCGGGGCCCAATTGCCCAAATAACAAATGCTACAAAATGAACTCTCACTATATGGACTGTGGTTGCTATCTCTTCCCGAGGAGCAGGATGGTATTAAGATTATGGATGTCTATAAGTTAAACATTGCTCTTGTCTCTAAATTAGGATGGAAATTGCTGGTTGGCAGAAGCACTTCATGGTATAGAATCTAGCTTATTTGACAAATATCTGTCTTTTATTTGATAAATAATATCTTTCTTCTTCTAGACACAATAAATCCAAAAGACAATTGGTCTCATGTAAGGAATAAATAAGGATGCCAACATCTAGTCGGATAATTACCATTCCGTAATCTTCTATACTAATTTTATAACAGTCATTCTTCTCATTGATGCTTCAAACCAACTTTTTGATTCAGAGGCAGCTACAATAATATATATCAAGCACAAATCTCTTCCTATCCATGCTCTGTTAATGCATACACCAATAACTCAGAACTATCGATCGAGTCTCTTCAATGCATCTTTAGAAATAATATGATCATTTACCTTCGAGTAGGGGTGTAAATGGTATTCGAAAATCTGATTTTGAATTCGATATTTGACATAATTGAATTAAATTTGAATAATTCAAATATCTAATCAGTCGAATTTGAATATCTTATTCATACCAAATAGCTATTTGGATTCAAATTCAGATATGACCTGATTTGATTCGGTAAATATCTGAATTCAATCGATTATTTAATTTTTATATATAATATATAAAATATTTTATATAATTTATATATAACAATTAAGTTATATAAATGATTAATATATTTATATAGTTATATCAATAAAATATTTATTTTATATATTTATTAATTATCTAAATAATTAATTAATTAAATTCGAATCGAATATTCAAATATTTAATCGGATTCGAATTCGGATAATAATTTTTAATATCCGTCGGATATCGAATTGAATTCGAATGTTGGATTTTCTAATTAGATTCAAATTCAGATATTGCCTGATCCGATTTGAATTCGACTTGTTTACACCCCTACCTCCGAGAGTGACCATATTCTCATGGTGGTGAAAACATAACTTTTTAATCGTTTGAGCAGAACTTTTTGAAAGGAGCCACCAATTAATTTATGGGGTAAGTGGACTGCAATCCACCTCAGAAATCTGAATTGTAGCCCCCTCCAAGTCTACTAGTAGCCCCTCCTATAAACTGCATCTTGTCCATGAATTTAACATTAATCCACGAACAAGATTCAATCTATTCCTAAAAATCTTAACTCCACCCTAAGGCGGATTGAACTATAAAAACCCCTTAATTTATCGATCCCTTATGCATTGCGTGTGGAAGAGAGAGTGAGAAATTTATTGTTTTTCAATATATTCAATTTGAATAGGTCTCAAATTAGGAATACTGAGGTTGTAATAAACAAAACAAATGGGAAAATTATCAACCATGTGCTTCAAGACGGAGAAACAAATGATCACCCCATAGGTCACTCGATTGATTTGGTCCTAGTTGAAGGCCTTGTGGACTGGGGGAGTATGCGTATGGGAAGGGTAAGAAAACGACTTGAGAACCACAGACATAATTGTATAAACAAGGTAAAAATGACAAATTTAATAGCCAACCAGAGCAGCCGGAATTAGGTTATTTTAATCGAGCTTCGAGCCCACTTAATTGACTTTTCTCATTTATTATTGAGTTTCTAACCTCGTTACTTCATTGGTGAACGGGGTTTCCTAAAAAAAGGTTAGAACCTAATTGGCTAATATTGTTGTTTTTTGCAAGAAAAGCTATTGAAACCTAATTGACTTTTCTCAATTATTATTGAGTTTCTAACCTCGTTATGAACGGGGTTTCCTAAAAAAAAGGTTAGAACCTAATTGGCTAATATTGTTGTTTTTTGCAAGAAAAGCTATTGAAATATGAATGCATCATGACGATTAATGAGAGTCCTTAACATAACTAGAGCAACATTTATTTTACTGGGTATCAATCCGGGTAAGTGATACCCATTTCCTAGGTGGGTAAATAATTTTCCCACCTAGGGGAAAAGTTGCCGACACTTGAATAGGACAAAAATGCCCCTTTTAATAATAGATTTTTATGACTAAAATGGTCATTACCTTATTTACATAGAAATAAAAGAACATGGATAAATGCACCTACCCGGGTAACTGCATTTACCTAGGTAAGTAACTTATCGAAAAGCAAACAGGACCAAAATGTTAAACTAGAGCGTCATCAAATGCCGCCTAGCCCAATTGGTTTGATGGAAGATATAGTGGGTTGAGATCAAGGAACTGTTTCTGGTTAACCAAATTAAACGGATAATGACACTTGCATAATTAGGGCACATCTATATACGTGCATGATAATAATAATTAATTACACTACTAAATTTTGTGTTCCTGTATTAAATAATATTATTTTTTATTTTAATAATTATTTTTATTTAATATGATGATTATATAACATTAGAAATGCTCCGAAATGTCTTTGACAAAACTCTGCACTTTTTTATTTATTGTGTTCGATCTTTTTTAAATATTTATTAGGGAGAAAGAAGGTTCAACCCAAAGTCAGAATTTTTAAGCATATTTTTGTTTAGTATGAATAATATATAAATGCATGTTCAAAATTTTCTATTAAATTTATAAATATTCTATATTATTATTTTTTATTATTTAATTTATGAGATAATAAAAATTACTTATTTACCAAGAGGAAATGCAATTCCATTATATTGTTTGAATATTGGTTTTTAATATTGTGGTAAAATCAATTATATATATATATATATATCATTTATATATAATATATATGTTATTTATTATTTATTTATAAATATATTATTTATATTGCATTTTTGTATAAACTTCTTATATGATGAAAATAATTGAAAAATAGGTATATTTTTTTGTTTTTCTTTATTTCATCTATTATATTTTCTTTTCCTTTTAATATTTTTTTTTCATTAAATCGGATCGTTTCAGATTCGGATATCCAACATTTTGATCTGATTCAAATTCAAGTCAATATTTATGAGATCCGATTAGATCTTTGGATTAAATCAAATTTGAATATACCTTAATTCAAATCCGATCTCATTTGTTTGCATCCCTACCAGCCACTTGCCTACAATGACCTAGCTAATTAAATCATTGAACCATTTGAAATGGATAGTGGGGTCATGTGTTAGACATTAATGCTCTTTATTTTTTATCTTAATTTTTATCCCATTGCTATCATTAATGAAAATAATAATTCTCATTAATCACATTTTTTTATATGATGAATAAATAATATTATAGAATGTACCCCAAATTATCTACAAATTTTCAT